CAATTAAAAAAAATTAACATCAGTTGCATCGATCGGGATTCGAACCGCGACTTCTCGATCGAGCGTCATGCAGCTAACACACTAGGCCACCCCACTCCTGCTAGTGGCGCTGTCAAAACTCAAATAGATTCTCTGCTGCTGCGCCATCTACCAAAACTAAACGAAACTAACAGCTGATGTGATTCAACGAATGTTTCTAGAAGAAACAGCATACGATGCTGTTGTAGCTGCTGCACGTGCGTTTGTTAATTGGCCAAATATTTGATTATTTTTTATTAATTTTTGACTGAACGGAATTTAATGAAACTTTCAGCATATGATCTACATATTATATTGAATATTCGAGAAATTTAAAAAAAAAGAAAAATCATTCACAATTACCTATAGTGGCATCTGATTTGAACTTGAATGTTTTTACTTGATAAAAACATAACGGGATGATTTATCGAATTTTAAAAGCAAACTCAACGTCCGCGCTGTATATACGATCTTTAAAAAAAAAAAATGAAGTCTCCATCTCTTATACCTTCGGAAATCGACGCGTTCATACATACGGACAGACGGACAGACGGACAGACAGACGGACAGGGCCAAATCGACTCAGCTCGTCGCCCTGATCAATAATATATATGTTTTGTGGGGTCTGCCACGCCTCCTTCTGCCTGTTACATACATTTCAACAAAACCATTATACCCTGATTTCCCATTTTCAATGGGTTCAGGGTATAATAATCAAATATTTGGCCAATTAACAAACGCACTTGCAGCAGCTACAACAGTATCGTATACGTGTGCAAACATACATTCAAACTTCTTCCAGAACATCAGCTGTTAGTTTGGTTTAGTTTTGGTAGATGGCGCTGCAGCAGTGAATCTATTTGAGATTTGCCAGCGCAGCTTCCAAAAGTGAGGTGGCGTAGTGAGTAGCGGCATTACGCACGATCAAGAAGTCGCGGTTCGAATCCCGATCGGTGCAGCTGATGTCAGTTTTTTTTAATTGTTTCAAAATATTTTTAATTTAAAAAAATGAGTTTTCTATTTAATTTACATTTTTAAATACCCCGAAATTGAAATTTAACCATACTAAATGTGCGTTTTTAATAGTTTGGTTATTCTAGCAGATTCTTAGAATCACATCAGCAGTTAGTTTGGTTTAGTTTTGCTAGATGGCGTTGCAGCAGCTAATCTATTTCAGTTTTGGCAATGCTGCTTCCGAAAGTGAGGTGGCGTAGTGAGTAGGTGCGTGACGCTCGATCGGGAAGTCGCGGTTCGAATCCCGAGCGATGCAGCTGATGTTAACTTTTTTTAATTGTTTCAAAATATTTTTATATTTTATTAAATGAGTTTTGTATTTCATTTATATATTTAAACATATCGAAATTGGAATTTTAGCCATACTGAATGGGCATTTTTATTAGTTGGGTTCAGGGTAGTATCTAGTCGAGCACTCTCGACTAGAGTTTTCTTACTTGTTTTTTTTTTATTTAATTATTTAATAAATACTCTATTGTATTTAGTTAATTTTTTGTTTCTCTAAAAAAATGTTTCAAAATACTTTAAAAATTCCTACAAAGCTTAAAATACTTGCTGTGCCAGTAATTTGGTTCGCCACTGTATGTGTGCATATCATTTTGTCTCGACTAGAACACTGTTACTTGTTATGAAATAGGAAATTAGGGTATAATGGTTTTTGTTGAAATGTAAGTAATAAGCAGAAGTAGGCGTGGCAAACCCCATAAAGAATATATATTCTTATCTTTCTGTCTGTCCGTCTGTCCGTAGACTTGAAATTACATTTTAAATGTCCGTAAAAATAGCGTGGATATCGAGTTTTTCTTAAAAAATCGATAAATTGCCCCGTTATATAGTATCGATTAAAACCTTTATCGCGTGTGTGTGTGCATGTGCGAATAATTATTGAAATATCAGTTGCTCTAAGCCTGATGTCAGAGTGGCCGCGATAAGCGATGCGATATTATGGAGCGACAATAAGCGAGAAAGCTCTACATGCAGATTTACATGTAATCGCTTAAAAAATGTCAGAGTGCAAGCGAAGCGAGAAGAGGGCAAAAGCGAGAAGTTAAGCGAGATGTGAGAAAGCATTCCTGAATCGTTTTCTCGCTTTATCGCATGATAAGTTAGTAGGTGAAATATATTCTTTTTGGCAATTCAAGCAATATTTCTCTCGTTCACTCTGATATGGCATCGCTTTGCAAATCGCTACGATACGAGAGCACTTGTCACTTTAGTTAGTCAGCTATTTAAATATAAGCGCGCCTCTTCAATTAAAACCCAAAATCGTTCAACCAATTCTAAGTTGATGGAATCACACGCCAATTTTCATCTCCCATGCATACATACAAACACATGTAAAGGCACACAGGCATACAAATGCTTCTACAAGTTATATCCCATGATTGTGAGCAGCGACTCCCATGCGTACACACAATCAAATGTATATACATACATACATACATATGTATGTGAGCACTTCACAAGATCGACCAAATGCAAATGCTGCGCTTCAGGCAGCCAGAGCTTCACACACAGGCATACAAATGCTCATAGTACATGTAGCAAGGGACAGTGTGTGTGTGCATGCTCGTCGTGGAAGAATTTTCATTATGCGCACCAACGCTTTCATACCCTTCCCACGAATAATAAGGAAAACGCAAACATTTCGCATAAGCATGGCGAGTTGGTTCATAAGCGATTTGCATCAACGCTTTCATACCCTTCCCACAAATATCCATCGAAACGCTACAGTTTGTTTGCATGAGCCTGACAAACTCTTTTATGATTTAGGTATACCTTTCACTGAAAAGGAAAGATCGTCGCGAACAAATTTAAATTTTAGAAAGTGAGTAGGACAAATAGCACATAGCTGTGCTTCATATAATAATGTGACCGTTTCGTTTGAGCGCTTGCAGCGCACTGACATTTTCGTGCAATATTTTCTCTGCTCGAACTTCCAACGAGCGAGTCGAGCAAAAACGAAGTATAGTGGCCCACCAACTTAACATTTTATGCTGTAGAAAAGTTGGTTCTACGTGTCTAGTCTATGTGTTCTCTGGTTAGTGGTAGAATCCTAGTATTGTTCCATTTGTCAACTTGTTCCCTTAGATTCATTACTTAATTTTCACCGATGTATCGAATACATGTAATGAGGTATATCGATATTTTTCATTTTCGTTTCACCACTAGTCCGTAAATTAACTATGAAATTATGAATCTGTATTGACTGAGTGATTTTTATATTAGAAAGAAACACTGCCAAATATCAACTGTCACAACTTCGAAAAGCTAGTACAAATAGAAAAAATCAAGTTAAATTAATAATTATACAGATTAAAAAAATTAAAGTATGTGCGCCCTGTTTGTATATTACTGCAAAATCATATGTGTAATAAGAATATATGTGCGTATATATGTTTAAACAGAAATATAAATGATTGTATGTATGTACATATATAAACAAAGAAGTAAATAGATGGTTTACAAAGCGAATACATGTATTTATGTAGATATGTATTTAAACTTTGCGTTCCTTACTTGTTTTATAAAAGAAAATATTTTGATATTTTATGTTCTCGATATGTCATAAGCAATTGTATGAAATATAGTCCATATAAATATAATTTTATTAATAATAAGTACACTTTTGTATTGTAATTAGTTGGGCAAATAAATATATAGATTAATGAGTTCTTAATTCTCTATATGGTAATAAAAGTAAAAATACATATTTTATGCATGACTTGTAAATTTGGACTGATTTAGCAATCTGATATTTGCATTAACAAACGTAGAGGATTTTAAAATTATTTTAATTTATAAATTTAAAAGGTAAAATAATAGCTAAGTGTACATTGCCTCAAACTAAAACATTCAATACGAATTAGTAATTTTATGTTCAAAATTTATTTTAATAACATAATTATGTCTTTCTTATATTATTAAAACTAAACCTAATTAAAAACAAATAAAATAAAATAATGAAATATATAAACAAAAGATATAAACGAAAAATTACACCTCAAAAATCTTCGTACACTTTAACTATTCTGCGTACAATTCCGGAATTCGTGACTACCGTTAATTTTTGCACGTTTCTTTAATTCGTCTTGGCTGATTTTCGTAATTTGGTATCACTTGGAAAACAAATTTAGCACGCTGTTTCTCATGAAGCACAAAGAATAAGAAATATCGGTAGCCGTTGGAAGCAGGTTGGAAGGCAAATCCTAACAAGAAATTGGTTAATTGGTAGGCAGAACTTATTCCTCGTGTCAAAGAGTCTACGACAATTATGTTTGATCGGGCTCCATATTGCCCCGGTCCGGACACAAGAAGGACGTCTGGAAGTTGAAGAACGTTTCTCCAAAACTGGTTCTGAGGAAACCGGCCGGCTGTCCCGGCCGAGTTGCACGTAGGAAGCCTCATGTATCAGTTGTGAACAGGAAAAAGCGTATGGACTTCGCCAATGAGCACGTTGCCAAGCCTTCTAGCTTCTGGAATAAAGTGATTTTTTCAAAGAGAGCAAGATGAGAGCCAGTTTTGCATATTTGGCATAAAAGAAGAAAATAAAAGGTCATGATGGAGAAATGAGGATAAATAGTCGCAGAGAATACTTTAAACCTATTGACTCACGTTTGACTGAGGTGTTAAAACGATAAGGGTATCCACCAAGATATTAACAACCACCAAATTCCTGCGTTGTGCGTAGAATAGTTAGTTAGTTTTGAGGTGTCATTTTTCGGTTGTCTTTTGCTTATAATTTTTTTTTTCATATTATTTTTTTTAATTTTTTTTTTATTTAATAATAAAAGACATAATTATATTAATAAATAAATGAGAAATGTTATACAAAAATATTGCCTTAAGTGTGTTATACAAGTAAACATAAAAGTATGTGTTTGTTTGCATGTGTACGCAAAGTTCTTCGAGAAAGTAAATTTCCCAAATAAATATAATAAATTGAATATTAATTTCTATTTCTTAAGGTCAATTAAACTATTCCAAGAACTTTTGTACTTGAACCCATATTTCGTCTGTGCAAATGAAATTCATCTGCGTTTAGGACTGATGCTTAAAGTTAATGGTGATTTTCGTAGTGCACTTAAACACTTCCAGTTGGCATTGGCGGATTCATCACCCTCGACTTTTTCGGATCTTCAAGGTATATATAAAAAATCATTATTTCTATTTATAAATATGGATATGCTTTTGCTGGCTCAATCTACTTATTCACAAAAAAAAAAAAAAAAAAAAAAAAAATTATTCACCATTAAAAAAATGAATGCGTGTATTGATTTTGTGTAATGCCCGTTTTATGTCTGTCTGACTTTGCGTATAAAAGCAAATTTTTCCAGTTATTGAAGCAAGCGACTTGAAATTTAGAACATATATATATATTTCGAAAATTCTCTCGATCCGTTCATTAGTGGCGTGACTTTATTTTAGCTGAGGAGCTAGAGATTTGAAATTTTGAATCGCGATGATCACCTAAGATCAAAAGTATACTCGGATTGACAGCTCAAAATTATCCGATCCGCTCACTAGAGGCGTGGCAAATCGGAAAATGCATTTACCGATATGCCAGAAATCATGTTAGTTGAAGAGCTAGAAAGCTGAAATTTGGTATGTAGGTCCGCATCAACCACCCAAGATCACGAGCTATGGCAGACATATCTACGCCTATCAGTGGCGTGGCAAATCGGACCTGAAGATATAGTGATTTTCTAAATTCTGCTATATTTTGGACACTATTGATGCCAGAGACCTCAAATTTTGTATATATACTCGGGCTGGTCACCCAAGAGCAAAAATTTTGTCGGATATATGTCCGCCCACAGGGGGCGTGGCAAACCGCAAAAGCTGATATCTTCTAAAGTATAAGCTAGAAGCTTCAAATTTAGATAGTTAAGTTACCAGTAACCTCCTCCATCGATGACCCAAAAATAATTTTTACGCCTCTTTAAGGGCGTGGCATATAGAAAAATACCCTGTAATTGTCACACTTTTTGAGGGTAAGCATTCAAACTTTGCAGTTAGGGTACCGTTATCACGTTCTAAGAACTGACCAAAAATGAGGTGTCTACGTCCAGCGTGGCAAATTGAAAAAACCTGTATTTTCTATTAGTATTAGAGCGAAACTTAACTACTAAATTGTTGATGGGATGTGAATGAGTATTCCGCAGCCGGTAACGCCCGACTGCAACGTTCTTACTTGTTTTATTGAAGGCCTGTCAAAATCTTCATATCGTTTTACAATTTTTGAATACTAACACTTTGTATTATTTTTTACTTTTCAGTGAAATTTCAAATAGCTCATCTGTATGAAGTACAAAATAAACACAAGGCTGCAAAAGAATCATATGAATTTATCTTAAATGACAAAAATATATCGCTTGACTTAAAAGCCGATATTTACAGACAATTAGGTAAGAATGTATTTTATGGATTTATTAAGATTATTTGTTATTTATTGTTTTACGAAAGAGTGGTTTCTTTCAAAGTTTCTTGGGGTGAATCAATAAAAACAAGTAAGAAGACTCTAGTCGAGACTGCTCGACTAAGAGATACCCTGAACCCTCTAATTTGATATTCTAATCACTCTGCACTTCTTTTCGGCACACATACATACATACGCACGTATTAGAACGTGCTCTGCTAACTGCGCAGTAAGCAGCGACTGCGATCGTATCTTTCGATAGGGTTTTTAATCGATAATAAAATATCGGGAGTAGTTATCGATACATAGAGAAAAACTCGATATGCGCGTGATATACACGGACCTAGGAAGTCTTTCAAGTCTCTAGCTCTTATATCTTCTGAGATTGACGCGTTCATACATACGGATTTTTTTCCTAGGTCCGCAATAAATGTTAGTGAACAATTAAGTTCCCATATTAGCAACCACTGCAGCCAATGCATTGGCATTGCAATGCGTGTTAATGCGTGCGTACGTATGTCTGAATATTGAAATATCAGTTGCTCGAAGGGTTCAAGGGATCTTGTAGTCGAGCAGTCTCGACTAGAGCTTTCTTACCTGTTTTAAATACTATTAGACACCTTCCCCCGATTCAAAAAATTTCTCGGCACTTGTGCTTTGCATTAGGGCTGCAAATCCATCGATGGAGACTATTGATAGTATCGATGGATTTGGGCTCTCATGATATATCGATGGTTTTTTTCATCCATCGTTAATTTACAACTAGGTGGCGCAAAGAGACGCATGTAAGCATTTTTCGGAATATACATATATAACATAACATACATATACATATATATATAAACATTAAGTTAATAATATTATTATATTGTGATTAGCTTTTATAGCTATATTTCAATGATATTTGGTGGTTCTTCGTAAGAAAAGTGTATGGATAAATTTTTAAAGCCATCAATTAAGCATGAAACTGATGTTTAAAGTGCAAGTGTGTTTTTTATTTTATTATGTACATTAAAGATGGCGCTTCTGCTTCGCGTTCTACTGTGGCGAACTTTGATAATTCTAAGTCTTCCACTGCTGCTGCTAGTACTACTAGATTTTTGCCCACCGCTTCTGAGGATGATGCATCCAATTTTGTCCATATGTAATACAATATATATTTTATTAGATATACAACCATCACACAAATATCCGATTACTATTGTAATGGATTCTTATACAAAATTGCACGAATCATTTTATGCTGGATGTATGATCGAAATTATTGAAAATTTATTAATTTGTAAGAACTTCAAATCTTCGATGGAACTATCGATAGTATCGATGGTTTATTCCATCGATGGATAAATCTATCGAGGGTAACCTCTATCGATGGCTTTGCAGCCGTACTTTGGATATACTTATATATATCTTCTATATATATAAAAGAAAGTTGTGTAAAAGTGCTCCAACACTTATAACTCGAGATCTGCTGGACCAATTTTCATGGTTTTTGATTTGTTGGATTTGTCTCCGCCACAAGTAGGATAGTAGATCTTAAAAATACTGAAAAAATTTCGGTCCTGCTCTCATATTATACAATAGTATAGAAGTAAATAAACAAATGTAGTCAGTCAGGCTACGGAACAGCCTCAGGCGAACCTGACTATTCATAAAAAAAAAAACACATTTGATAAAAATAATACGCGTGCGTACAGAAGCTAAATATCTCGAAAGTTCAGGTATTTGTTTGTCTCAAACATAAATTTGTGTAAATTATTTATATTTATATTTCTCGATTGTTTTATGTGGTTTTGTGCGAGGGCATATTGTTACTATTGATAAAAATGCCGCATCCTAGAAGATGTAATCTTTCCCGGCGGACCCATAATGCAATTAGGCATCGGAATATCGCGAGTCCATTATCTGACGAAGAACGAGAAATCGCCCGAGAAAGGCGCCGCGTTAGTACACAGCAAAGAAGAGCCTTAATTCGTGCTTCTCAAAGAGAGGTAGCCCGTGAAACGGCAATAAGAAATGGTGCAAGGATTGATTTGAATCGAGCAGCGTTTCGATATGATTGCACCATTGACTACAGCTTGAATGGTTAAGTTTGCATTGGTCCAATGGACGTTGTTTGCCAACATTGTGGCGCATTGAAGTTTGCCGGTTTGTGCTGCCTTAGTGGTAAAGTGACATTGCCATTAGTGGTCCCGCCACCAGAGCCATTGCGTTCCCTGCTTTATGGCGAAACATTAGAATCACGACATTTTCTAGCGAACACTCAAAATGACTTCAACTGTCTGTAAATATGAGAGTTGCATTGTTGAACGATCTATCTGCTGATAATTTCTCGAAGCAATTGCTGAATATCGGTAATGGCCGTATTCCTGTTGACGAATCGAGTAACTTTATTTCATTTCCTCAATTTTTGCAATTTCGTCTCATCAAAAGATGAGCTTATCAACAAAGTATTTCCGAATATCCTTGCTTTCCACAAAAATACTAAATGGTTAAGTGAGCAAGCAATTTTGGCGGCTAAAAATAGAGATGTGGATGACTTTAATCTTATAATTCAAAATCAAATCGTTGGTACTCTGTATTCATTCAAATCTATCGACTGTGTAACAAACGATGAAGAAGCCACTAATTATCCAACTGAATTTTTGAACTCCTTGGATGTGCCTGGTTTACCACCGCACAATTTACAACTGAAGGTTGGCTCGGTAGTTATCATGCTTAGAAATTTAAACCAACTAAAACTATGCAATGGAATGCGTTTGGTGATAAGAAAACTAATGAGCAATGTGATTCACGCATCGATACTCAAAGGAAAATTTAAAGATGAGGAGGATTCCGATGACCCCAACAGATATGCCCTTTGAGTTTCAACTAATTCAATTCCCGATTCGTCTTGCCTTCGCCATGACGATCAACAAATCACAGGGCCAATCTTTGACTATTTGTGGCCTCAATCTAGAAAATGCGTGTTTTTCTCATGGTCAATTGTACGTGACATGCTCACGTGTTGGCAAACAATCCGCATTATTTGTTCTTGCACCTGACCAAAAAACGAAGAATGTCGTTTACCACAAGGGGCTTAAATGAAAATCCGATTAATAAATTAATCAGAGTGTATCCCAACCTGGACAACATAGCTTTCAACAATTTTTTACCTAGAAATAATGGATAGGGCAATGCAACGTTTGCCGGGCCAGCTAGTATATATATATATATAAATATATAAATTTGCCCTTGAAATGAACGTCACTTCCGTTGACTAATGGGTCTTAATATCACCTCCTTTTAAGCGTCGTCGGACTGTGTGCTCACTGATGAAGTCACTTAGGGCTAGAAGGTGATAGTTTTTAATGTGCGTTGTTTTGCGTTGCGTTGCACCTGACTTTCTTCAATTTCAAATATGATTCAATTTTTTAAACTTGTTTGATATTTACTGCTCTGTCGTTTAATATCGCTACTATTGATGATACTAACGATAAAATTATTTAATAAATCTGTTTTCCCATTCGAAAAACATTTTAAACCAAATTTTGGATTGTAAACATTCAAGTGGAAGACAACAATCCCGCGGCCTTAATATGTAATATATACATGTTTATTTAAAACAAAAGAACGAGGAGGAAAAGAATCTTTGAAAGCGAAACCATAAAATTGTCTGTTTATTTTGGCACGTGTTGACTGTCCGAAATGTTTTTGCGTTCTTCGAGATCATCACTTATGTATTTTCAATGCACAAAACACATTACTTCATTGAGCTCGACTAAAAGTCTATAACCAAAACGGAAAATCTCAAATCAGAACGTCTCTTACTATGATGGGTTGTTTTATATTTTGGCCTGAAGGAACAATTAAATAAATAAAGCAAGTAGCAATGTTGAAGAATATTCATTCGCACTCCTAAAGCTTTAAAAAAGAAGATACAGTTTTAACCGATTTTCCACGCTGCATAAATACAGAGTTTTTTTTTTTTTTTTTAAATCGAAATGGATTGCATTCATACGGAAAGACAGACAGACGAAAAGGCTGACAGCGCACAAATCCAATACTCATTTCACTTTGGTTAATGAGTAAAATAAATAAATAAAATTTCATTATTATTAAAAATGTCTTGATTTTCAGGATGGATGTATCATTGTGTCGAATGCCTAGGCGAAAAAAAAGAACGTGAATCGAAAGCATTACGGTTTCTACAGAAATCAATTGAAGCAGAGCCAAAGTGTGGACAATCATTATATTTATTGGGGAGATGTTACGCTGGCGTGAATAAGGTTCATGATGCGTTTTTAGCTTATAGGAATTCTGTTGAGAAAAGTGAAGGGAATGCAGACACCTGGTGCTCGATTGGGTAATATTATTTCTTAATTTACATCATGAGCAATCAATACTTCTTAATATGTATAGTGTTTTATATCAGCAGCAAAATCAACCAACGGATGCACTACAAGCATACATATGCGCAGTACAATTAGATAAGGATCATAAGTCGGCGTGGACAAATTTGGGAATTCTATATGAAAGTTGCGGGCAATTGCGAGATGCTTACGCATGCTATCTAAACGCGGTGAAACAAATATCAAACCAGGTATAAATTTGGGATTTTTAATATCTTTAATGTATCCCTAATGTAACTCATAATACGTTCGAGACCCGATAATTCGAAATGACAAGGGGGTCAGTTTTTTTTTTGTATACCTTTAACCCATTTTCAATGGGAAATCAGGGTGTAATGGTTTTGTTAAAAATATGTATATATTCTTAATCAGGGCGACGAGCTGAGTCGATTTACCCCTGTCCGTCTGTCTGTCCGTCAGTCCGTATGTATGAACGGGTCGATTTCAGAAGATATACGCGCATATCGACAATTTCTCCCAAAATCGATAGCCAATCCCAATATTTTTTTATCGATTAAAACCTTAACGAAAACTAGTTATTTTATTATATCACTAACCAGAGAACACATAGACACGTAGTGTAAAGCGTTTTGCACACTTTTTTTCGAGCGTTAACACCCCAGACAACTTCGTATTCGCTCGGCTCCTCACTTTTAGGTTTGGGTTACTAAAATATACGAAAGCACAATCATTTCGCTTCATGCGCTCGACCGAGATGGTCAAATGTTTAACAAAAGATCCCTCTATGCTCAATGTTTCCCTCGCTCTCTCTCTCTCTCGATGCTCTCTGCTCTCTCAAATGTGGTTTGACCGGAACAGGCGCGCTTATATTTAAGTAGATGATTTTATTTCAATGATCGTGGGTTTGCCTATCAGAATGATTTTTGCTAGAAATGTAGTACCTGATCAATCCCAGTGGCCAAATTGGAATGCGATTTTCGATCCCTTGTACCTGCACATATACAGGTGAAATTTACCTTTTTAATAAGAAGCATATGTATGTACATACATACATATACTGGCTAAATGGACCCATTTTAAAGGGTGCATCTGTTAGATGTCATAAAAATCATGCAATACTACTTAAATATAAGCGCGCCTCTTCCGGTCAAACTCAAAATCGTTCACACAATTCTAAGTTGTCGTAGGCACACGTCAATGCTCATGTCGCATGCATACACTTATAAACATACACACACGCACATACGTATAAAGGCACTCAAATGCTTCTACAATGATTACCCCATCATTTGTGAGCATCGCGGCCCCTGCGTACACACAATCAAACATATTTATGTAAGTGTGAGCACTTAACAAGATCGACCAAATGCAAATGCTAGGATTTCAAATTGCTATAGCCAGCAAGGGCTTTGCACACAGGCATACAAATGCTCATAGTACATGTAGCAAGGGACAGTGTGTGTGTGCATGCTCGTCGCAAAAACATTTTCATTATGCGCACCAACGCTTTCATACTCTTCCCACGAATAATAACGCAAACGCATGGCAAACGGCTTGAAGAGTTCTGAATACTCTTCACTCAGAACGGAAGACATGGGTTCTTGCCGCGAAGAAATTTCAATTTTCGTGAGCTGCTGCTTGTGCTCACAATGTGAGCCTCACATGCATACATACATATACACATTTGAGAGAGCAGAGAGCATCGAGAGAGAGAGAGCGAGGGAAACATTGAGCATAGAGGGATCTTTTGTTAAACATTTGACCATCTCGGTCGAGCGCATGAAGCGAAATGATTGTGCTTTCGTATATTTTAGTAACCCAAACCTAAAAGTGAGGAGCCGAGCGAATACGAAGTTGTCTGGGGTGTTAACGCTCGAAAAAAAGTGTGCAAAACGCTTTACACTACGTGTCCGGTCTATGTGTTCTCTGGTTAGTGATATAAGTCAACATTAAAAATTTGGAAGCTCAAGATCTTAAGGTATAAGAGATATAATTAAATATCTAGTTTTCGATGAGGGTTTTAATCGATAATAAAATATCGGGAGTAGCTATCGATATTTTGAGAAAAACTCGATATGCGCGTGATATACACGGACCTAGGAAAAAGTAAAACCACACTGCAGACCATGCGTGTTTATGCATGCGTGCCAAGATGTGTCTGTGAGTGTATTTGTGTGTGTATCTCTTGTGTAAGCAGAAATATGCGAAGAATTATTATGAAATATCAGTTCATAGAAGGGTGATCCCGTAGTCGAGCATTCTCTTCTAGAGCTTTCTCTCGGGCTTTTTTTCGATCCACCCAAAAATCCTATAATTGAGAATTATCGAGAACTAATTTTGTTTGAAATAGACATCTTTCGATTTATAGCGGTTTTCGGTTCAGCGGGGTACAAATTATCTAGACTCGACTGTTTATGATTTAAATTTATAAATTTGGAGTAGACCAATTTATTTTCATTCTAAGTCGCGTTAATTCCATGTCCAGACAGATTATTGAATATGTCAAATATAGATTTACAAATTGCATTAAACATGAAGATTTTTTTGTTTTTTTAGAAAATAAATTCTGTCAATGAAGGAAGTAAACCTATATTATTTACAAGCAGTACAAATGGACTGACAAAGGGCATATTGCAACGAGTAAAATTCCTCGAAACCCAGCTTAGTCAAGCACCACTGCCAAGTATTACATCTAAACGACGCCAGCTTTGCTCAATTGAAGAGGCTTGGAATCTTCCAATATCATTAGAAATAAACTCTCGTCAACAGCAGCAAAACCTCCAAATGCAGCACAGACAGTATGGAAAGCACTCATTTGTGCAAGTAAGTTACCGTAAATATTGCGCAGTTTTAAAGGTACTGTTAAAGAGCACCCAAAAATATATTGGTTAGGCGTGCTTGAAAATGGCATTAAAGCTTTTAGTTCGAGAGCTTTAAGGCAATAGATATAAGTATTGTGTAAGAGATATCCGGAAATTAAATCATTGACCAATACATTAATTAATACATTAATTGAAATTAAACAAGTACACTAGTCGGCATAAATATTTTGACAAAATCGTGTTTCGACTATTAAAGCTGGCATTGCTTAGTACCGTTACATAAATGAGCGAAAATTGTGAGCAAAGCAAAGAGTGTATTAACAGCTCTATGCATGCCAAATTTTGAGCTGTTTAGCTTTTCCGTTCTCTTTCTGCTGATAAGAATGTATGCAAGCATCGAGTTTTTGAGTGGCATAAGTATTTTTTAAATTCTCTATTCACTTATGAGCAGTTAACAACCAAGTTTTTTTTGTATACCTTTAACCCATTTTCAATGGGAAATCAGGGTGTAATGGTTTTGTTAAAAATATGTATATATATTCTTAATCAGGACGACGAGCTGAGTCGATTTAGCTCTGTCCGTATGTTTGAACGCGTCGATCTCAAAAGATATAAGAGCTAGAGACTTTAGCTAGGTCCGTGTATAGCATGCGCATATCGAGTTTTGCTTTCCCCGATAACTTTCCCCGTTATTTTGTTATCGATTAAAAACATTATCGAAAACTAGTAATAAATTTATATCTCCTACATCTTAGAGCTAGAGTCTCCAAATTTTATATGTATACTTATATGCATTTTCTACAATTTCGGGTTTTGTCAAAATTTACCCCTCACCCCTAACTCACCCCCTTACCCTCACATTTGTAAAAGGGGCTCTGGCAAATACATGCATATCTATGCTATATTCATAATCTGAAAGTTTGATGATGATGAGTCCATCCACAAGAAAAGTTATTAAACAACTAAGTTCCCATAGTAAGCCAATACTGCAGCCAATGCGTGTGTGAGTGTGCATATGCGAATAATTATTAAAATATCAGTTTCTCGAAGGGTTCAGGGGATCTCGTAGTCGGGTAGTCTCGACTACAGCTTTCTTACTTGTTGTATTTAACTTTAATTGGTATTAAGTGTTGATAAAAAATAAAAAATGTAAAAAAAGTAAAAATCCAAGGATATTTGAGCATGGATACCACACTTTCAATGGTCGCAAATTTTAGCCCAGCACGACTATAAAACGCAGTGCAAATAAATTTCGATTGTCGTCAAGCTCTGTTGTATCAAATTAATATATTTAAAGAGTATAATCTTCACAACTCCAGTTGCCAAGCATAAAATATGACCTTTATAGGCAAAATCCTTTTTGGGGGTGCTGAACAAATATTTTTCGGACAGCTCAAAATGCTGCAATTTTATTTTTAATTTGACGCCCAAGAACATAATCTATGGACGTACTGTTTTGGCGTTGAAATAAAGTAAAGATTGGGACAAATAGGAGCAAGGACATGTCTCTCATCAAGTCCAATGCAAGCTTAAAAGACTAGCCTTTAGTAAGGAATAAGTTAACAAACCAATGAAGTTATGGAGAAAGAAGTGTTTTATGAACAGATAACAGCTTCTTGGAATATAACTCATCTCAAAAAGAAATTTGTTTACCAAAAAGCAAAATGCTTGAAGAGAAAATAACCATGGTAGGGGCTCTGTCATGCTCTAAAGACTTTTTGCATTCAATGGGCTAGATAAGTTCATTCCTATCACTGACTCAATAAAATAGGGCAAATATTTGAGTATCCTAAATGATAATGTCTGTCTTTCCGACTATCGTCATATCGAAAAATAATTTGTCCAGTATTTGTCATAAAAGCTCGGGTGATATTTAGCTTTATTAAAGACTAGTTGTCCCGGCGAACTTCGTACCGCCTAACAGTCTCTATAAATATAAAGCAAAGTCGAGTTTGTTACAAAACTTATAATTCGAGATCTGCTGCACCAATTTTCATGGTTTTTGATTTGTTGGATTTGTCTCCGCCCCGAATAAAAATAAAAATAAAATTTAGGAATATTTGAAAAATACGTTATTATACCCTGAACCCATTTTCAATGGGAAATCAGGGTATAATGGTTTTGTTGAAATGTATGTAACAGGCAGAAGGAGGCGTGGCAGACCCCACAAAACATATATATTCTTGATCAGGGCGACGAGCTGAGTCGATTTGGCCCTGTCCGTCTGTCCGTATGTATGAACGCGTCGATTTCCGAAGGTATAAGAGCTAGAGACTTGATTTTTTTTATTAATGACCGTATATACAGCGCGGACGTCGAGTTTGCTTTTAAAATTCGATAAATCATCCCGTTATGTTTTTATCTAGTAAAAACATTCAAGTTCAAGTCAGATGCCACTATAGCTAATTCTGAATGATTTTTCATTTTTTTAAATTTCCCAAATATTCAATATAATATGTTGATCATATGCTGAAAGTTTCAATAAATTCCGTTCAGTCAAAAATTAATTAAAAATCATCAAATATTTGGCCAATTAACAAACGCACGTGCAGCAGCTACAACAGTATCGTATGCGTGTGCACACATACATTCAAACTTCTTCTAGAACATTCTTTGAATCACATCAGCTGTTAGTTTCGTTTAGTTTTGGTAGATGGCGCTGCAGCAGTGAATCTATTTGAGTTTTGCCAGCACAGCTTCCAAAAGTGAGGTGACGTAGTGTGTTAGCGGCGTGACTCTCGGTCGAGTAATCGCGGTTCGAATCCCGATCGGTGCAGCTGATGTTAATTTTTTTTAATTGTTTCAAAATATTTTTATATTTTCATAAATGAGTTTTCTATTTAATTTATATTTTTAAATACACCGAAATTGAAATTTTAACCATACTAAATGTGCGTTTTTAATAGTTTGGTTATTCTAGCAGATTCTTAGAATCACATCAGCAGTTAGTTTGGTTTAGTTTTGCTAGATGGCGCTGCAGCAATGAATCTATTTCAGTTTTGCCATCGCAGCTCGCGAAAGTGAGGTGGCGTAGTGAGTAGCTGCGTGACGATCGATTGAGAAGTCGCGGATTCGAGTCCCGAGCGGTGCGAGTTATATTAATTTTTTTGTTTCAAAATATTTTTATATTTTATTAAATGAGTTTTGTACTTCATCGAAATTGAAATTTTAGCCATACTAAATGGGAATTTTTATTAGTTTGGTTCAGGGTAGTATCTAGTCGAGCACTCTCGACTAGAGTTTTCTTACTTGTTTTCCTTTAAAGTTCTTTAATTTTGGAGCTGTCAAATTTTTGTATCAAAATCAGTAAGTAATGTCGTGTTACCTTTTAGCTGAACTAATTTGGGCTTCTATGAACGTAATACAATAATACAAAAAAATATTAATATAGATAATTGTCAGAATTTTCACGAATCATTAAATAATATGCGTAATAATTCATCGAACTAACCTTCTTGGCAGTTTCCTCACCTGAAACAAATACAGTAAAAATTGTATTTTAGAATAGGTTTACGACTCTTACAGCTACTCTCTACTAAATTAAGAGTGATTGTTGGATTATATCCGTGTTCTTCAATAATTTCCGCCCCAAATGAAGTCATTTGGAAACATACATTGTATTATTGAGTGTTCGCTAGAAAATGTCGCGATTCTAGGTGTTTCGCCATAAAGCAGGGAAGAACGCAATGGCTCTGGTGGCGGGACCACTAATGGCAATGTCACTTTACCACTAAGGCAGCACAAACCGGGCGTTTCACAAGCAAACTTCAATGCGCCACATTGCTGGCAAACAACGTCCATTGGACCAATGCAAACTACACGATTCAAGCTGTAGTCAATGGTGCAATCATATCGAAACGCTGCTCGATTCAAATCAATCCTTGAACCATTTCTTATTGCCGTTTCACGGGCTGCCTCTCATTGAGATGCACGACTTAAGGCCCTTTGCTGGGTACTAACGCGGCGCGATTTCTCGTTCTTAGTCAGATAATTGACTCGCGATATTCCGATGCCTAATGGCATCATGGGTCCGCCGGGAAAGATTAGATCTTCTAAGACAAATACCTGAACTTTCGAGAGATTTAGCTTCTGTACGCACGCGTATTATTTTTATCAAATGTGCTTTTTTTATGAATAGTCAGGTTCGCCTCAGGCTGTTCCGTAGACTGACTGACTACATTTGTTTATTTACTTCTATACTATTGTATAATATGAGAGCAAGATCGAAAACTGTCACTATTATCAAGCCTACTAAGTATCAATGGACATTTGAATCTTTAGGGAAAAAACCGCGTTATTCAAGTATTTGTCAAATTTTTTCAGTATTTTTAAGATCTACTATCCTACTCGTGGCGGAGACAAATCCAACAAATCAAAAACCATTAAAATTGGTCCAGCAAATCTCGAGTTATAAGTGGAGGAGCACTTTTACACAACTTTCTTTTGTATATGTATATATATATATATATATATATATATATATAGAAGATTAGTAGTCCTTCTTTGATCTGGCTCACTATAAATCCATAATATAATATAAGTATGTCCAGATTTAAGACAAAACAAAATGGCTTTTGTCCAATAAAACAACAAGCCCAGTTGGACGCCTACCCTTGAATATGTTAACGCCGCCTGCAGAGAAAACTGGTACCCGATTTAGCTGTAAATCAGGGTCACCACACATGTCTCCTTGCCGGTTTCGGCCGAAAGTCGAACGAGAAAGATACATCCCTTGAACTGAAAAACTTTCTTACTTCGTGTAACCTTAAAAAGGCTAGAAAAAATCTTGGCTGGGCTAGCGGAGGGTGAAGCTTTAACATATCTGCTTAAAAATATATATAAATTGATATAGATGACATTTAGGAACATGTTTAAATGTAAAATAGTTATAGTCATTTTGAATGCAATATATTTTTGTTTACTATAACTTATTAATATTAAGGATAAGGGTTAAACAAATGAATTAAAAACATTTGTTGAATTTAATGAGTGGTAGCAATATTCATTACCGTAAAGTATCAATAAGAGGAAACCAATATCATTAGGGCGGCTAGGGAAGGCGTGGTCAGATCGGTCTGAAACTTAGATATATTTTTATATGCATCGACACTATCATATGTAACAAATTTCAAGAACCTAGCTTTGAAACTTTAATTTTCGTCGAAAAATCGGCTCGCTGGCCCAATGTGCATGCCCCAAATTTAAATTTAATAAATATATTTTTAAGTTTCTATGAATATATATATTTTTTTATGTTTCTATTAGATATATATAACAAATGAATAATAAATAAAAAATTGAAAATAAAGCCGTTAAAAATTTATGCTCAAAGTAGGCGAAAATTTTTTCGTCAAAATAATTATGCCGACTAGTGTATGTTGATATAGATAGTCCCACTACAAGTTATTCAATAAATATATTTTGATAATATTGCCCACAGTGCACCGCAGCGCAGGCGCATTTGCTGCTTACATCTTATGCTTGCTTATGCGTGCGCATGCATGTGTTTGTGTGTATAAAATAGGTTCAGAATGATTAGAATATTTGGTGACCAAATTTTGGTCTTTGCGGCCTTCAAGGTATCTCCTAGTGAAGTAGTCTCGACTAGAGCATCTTACTCGTTTAATTTTACAATTTGAAAATAATTCTTTTACTTTATAATTGAGAAATATTTTTCAAACGTTTTATTTATATAGGGGCCGCCGCCACCCTACCCACATAATCATGGAAGTCAAACCAATCCAACACCCGCAAAACGAGCAAAAGATGATAATACTGAAATGTCGACGATCAATAGATCAGAGAAATTAGAAATTAATACACAATTTTCACAACAAAATAAAAAAATATTTAGTGTGCAGCAAGACAAACTTGGACTACAGCTAACCGCTTCAAACTGTCATCCTCTTAACAAAATGTCTTCATCAGTAACACCTGGAAGTGATGTTTCATCTGAAAGAATAAATACGTATTCTTCTGATGCATCATCAACTAATATTATTAAAGAAGAATCAACTGATTTGGAACAACATGTTTCTTCAAATAATCAGGTTTCATTAGGTATGTGTAAGAATAATACATGAATATCTACAATAAAAATTATTTCAATGCAAATTCTGCATAATGACAGCAAACTCATTTTCGATCTGAACATTTAAAGACTTTTTGAGTGGCAAAAAATAGTATTATTAATTAAACATACATTTTGTATATGCTTAGGTCGGTCGATTATTGCATGCAGTCAAAACTCTTCGGAATTAATTGAAGACTTTAACCAGAGTTATTCCGATAATAGCAAAAATTCTGTTAAGCATGAAAGCTCAACACAAAGCAATGATGATAGTTATATTATTGAACAGAAGACTAAAAATGAATATGATCTTGATCCCGATATATCACCAAAATTCAATATACACATGGAATCTAAGCAATTATGGTCTGCAGTACAGCTTTTACCGGTTCATGAGCCACCGATCAATTTTACTGTTTTTTTGAGAAATTCCCCTCCGCCAACGCCACCGGATTGTCCGCCACAGAAACTTTCAAGGGAACAGCTCTTACCACCAACGCCGTCGGTCCACTTGGAAAATAAAAAAAATGCTTTTAGTCCACAGTTGCAGGAATTTTGTCTAAAGCATCCTATTGCAGTTGTACGTGGACTAGCTGGCGCTCTTAAATTAGATTTGGGACTCTTCTCAACTAAAACCCTGGTCGAAGCTAACCCGGATCACAGCGTTGAAGTCAGAACCCAAGTGAATCAGTCTCCTGATGAAAACTGGGATATATCTCAAGCAAAGCGAGTTTGGGCTTGTATATCTCATCGATCTCATACAACTATAGCAAAATATGCTCAATATCAGGCATCAAGCTTTCAAGACAGTTTAAAGGTAATAAATTTAGCATCACATCGTTTTGAGCATCGATAAATTAATAATAATCATGAAAATTAAGGATGAAGGCGACAAAGGCTCAGTTGGATCCCAAGTGATGTCGGATTCCGATTCGAAGGACTCAGTATCTAATTCAAATATTAATTTAAAACGAAAAAAAACCAAAAACGGTAGTAAAATGCTAAGGTAATACAAAAATGTTAAAACATATTTTTTTCGGATGCTAATATTTTATTTGTTTTTAATAGGTTCGGAACCAATGTTGATCTTTCTGATGAACGAAAATGGAAACCGCAATTAAGCGAATTACAAAAGTTGCCTGCTTTTGCTAGAGTAATTTCTGCTGCCAATATGTTGTCTCATGTAGGTCACGTCATTTTGGGAATGAATACTGTGCAATTATACATGAAAGTGCCTGGAAGTAGAACACCTGGGCATCAAGAAAATAATAATTTTTGCTCAATTAATATAAACATTGGTCCAGGAGACTGCGAATGGTTTGCTGTCCCAGATTCTTATTGGGGTGGCATCCATAATCTTTGTGAAAAAAACAATATCAGCTATTTACACGGCTCGTGGTGGCCTGTTTTAGAAGATTTATATAAAGAAAATATTCCAGTCTACCGCTTCATTCAGAAGCCTGGAGACCTAGTTTGGGTAAATGCTGGGTAAGTAACTCAAGAAAATAGGGATTTTTTCGTTATTTATTGTTTTTAATAAATAAAATAAGACAACAGGGAAAAAATTTCATAAATTCAAAAATTTCGAATGAAGAAACCAAAAAATACACATAAACTAAGTGTTGCTCGTTTCATGAAAATGACCAAACCATTTTAAATATTTTTCCCATAAGATTAGCTATAGTCATTTTGCATGTTTTCTACGAAATTCAGTACAGCCTCTTTGGTAATTCTATTACATTCCGTTAGTCCATTCCATTCCGTAGTCGTCTTTTCTGCCCAAGTAGTCTTTTCAAGATTGACCAATGATTTTCAATTGCATCTCCCTTTGCTTAAATTCTATTTAATCCATTTCTTAACAATTTTAGCCGTGTGTTGCATAAAACCGGGATGATTTTCCGTATTATACTTTCCATTATCTAATACGAGGACCAAGTTCCAAGCAAATCACGCCGTCATGTTCGACAATTTGCTTTATATGGTTTCTGTGAATACATTCCCTGGGACAGATTTACGCTTACAGTATATTGGTTTCCATCTGATTCAAAACGGTTAAAGTTGGATATGTGAGACTAAACAATTCGTTTCCATTCATCGACGCCCCAGTTTTTATGTTTCCTTGCAAATTTATAATTTACCCACTATTATTAGTTTTTATTTTTTACTCATCCCAATTATTTACAAATGTATAGTGTAGTTTGGCTCTTGACTCGAGAAAATTCTTCATTCTTCTTGACATTCTTTTCCCCTATGTCCGTGTGTACCACGCGCATATCGAGTTTTGCTTTTAAAATCGATAATTTGCCCCGCTATAAATGTAAATTCATATATACTTAATAGAATTTCGATCTTTGTCAAAATTTACCCTCCATTCCTATATTCACCCCCTCACCCACATATTTATAAAAGGCGTATTTCAAGTACTAGAGACTTGTGCTTTAGCAAATATATGCTATCTATGTTATATTCATAATCTAAATCTCTTGAAGTTTCATGAAGGTAGTCCATCCACAAAAAAAGTTATTAAACAATTAAGATCCCATAGTAAGCCACCACTGCAGCCAATGTGTGTGTGTGCTTGTCCGAATAATTATTAAAATATCAGTTGCTCGAAGGGATCAGGGGATCGCGTAGTCGGGCAGTCTCGACTACAGCTGTCTTACTTGTTTAATTATCGATTAAACCCTTATCAAAAATCTGTTTTCAAATTTATCTTCTACATCTTTGAAGCCATAGTAGTCAACTTCGTTATAATTATCACCCTTAAATTTGTGAAAGGCGTATTTCAATACTAGAGAAAATAGAGTTATTAAACAATTAAAATTCCATAGTAAGTTCACACTGCAGCGCATACCTGTCTATGTGTATGATGTTTCTTATGTAAGCTGAAAAGAAACGAAGAATTATTGAAATATCAGAGGATCTCGTAATCGAGCAGCCTCAACTAGTTTTTTTTTAATTAGTCTATACTGTGGTAAGTTTTTCACTTCAGTTATTTATTTATACTACGAAATAAAATTCTTTTTACTCATCATTTCAGATGTGTTCACTGGGTACAGTCTGTAGGGTGGTGTAATAATATTGCATGGAATGTTGGGCCACTAACTGCACGACAGTATTCTCTTGCCATTGAGCGTTATGAGTGGAACAAGCTTCAAAGTTTTAAAAGTATTGTACCTATGGTGCATTTAAGCTGGAACTTAGCCAGAAATATTAAAGTTTCAGATGTCAAACTATTTGAGTTAATAAAGTAAGTACGCGTGTAAACTTAAACTCTATTAATTTTATAGAGCTTAATTTCAATTAAGACTGACAAGTTTAAAAAAAATCTTAGACGTAAGTCAATATAGATTCATAAGATTGGCTAAGCCTTTTCTAGGGGCGTGGCAATTAATTTAAAAAAATTACTTGAATATATTAAAGGAATATTACTATTCAATCAAAATTTCTTTCATTATACGAGCCCAAACCACTAATAATTCGAACAGCAGGTTTTTTTTTGCAGTTCGCAATGTTTAACAGACTATATTATCAATACTAAAGATCACACATACCAATGTCTTAAATAGAATTTTATTCTCTTCCCAGCGAAGAGAAACACATATGCATTTAAAAAATATCTATTGCCAAAAACAACAACAATTTATTCAAACGTTAGACTTAAGAGATAAGAAAAAATTTACCACTATTGATTCGAACGGTGCGTAAGCTTACCTTTATCTCAAAAGAAAAACAAAACAAAAGCATCCAATATAACAGAATCACTATCTAGTTATAGTCTGCGAATAATATTGCAATGCTGCATGTAAACAATTTTTAAATTGTTGTAGATCAGTGAATGTAAGTGGTAAGTGGGAAGCCTACTTGCAACGAAATTAGAGTATTGATTAGAATCTGGGAAGACATGGAGATCAGCAAGCAATTAAATGTGTCTGGATTGTCTGTGCATGAGGTGATAAATATTTTTAAAAAATTGGGAATATTGAGCACAACATTGCAAATAGAGGCCGAGCATTAGCAATAATACCCCGCGACAAAAGACAATCTTTAAGATATTTGGCCTCTGAGTGGTCGCAGAAAATTGGCAAAGCTGTCGAGCGAAAATGGACGCGTATGCATTTAAAAAAATATTGGATAAGGTTTTTATAAGGTAAGTTTTGCATCGTACCAATAACTTATCTTACTCGTAAGCCAAGGAAACACCTTTGCTTACACTTCGTCAAAAAAGAAACGTTTGCAGTGGGCTCGGGAAAGGATGTTTTGGACTCAAAGGTAATGGGATACCATCATATTAAGCGATGACGTTAAATTTGATGTTAGTTTCGGCGATACGAGAAATCGTGTCATCCGTAAGAGTGCAGAATCATACCATAACTACTGCCGTAAAAGAGTGAAGTTTCTTGCGAGCATGTATGGTATGGGTATGGGGATTTAGTCTACCAAAGGATTAGGAAAACTGCATTTCATAGAAGGGATGGTTACATTACATTAATATTTTAAAAGATAGTTTTCGGCCATCAATACCATAGCTGGAAGTTTTAGGCATCGCGCTCATCCAAACAAACCAAAAATGGCTGGAATGAAATGCAGATTTTAGATTGGACATCAAATAGTCCAGTTTAATTGAAAATATTTAGTGGCATTAGCCACCATCATTACAAGGCAAGCTTCGAAATGAGCCACAAAGAAACATTTCTGACTTGAAAATCAAGCTGCATGAGATGTGGGACTCAATTTCTCAAGACCACTGCAAAAATTTGTTAAAATCAATGCCAAACGAGTTAATTGCGTAATGCAGGCCAAGGGTGACGTTACACAATTCTAATATTAATTAAATTATTGTTTTAAGTATGATCGTAAATCACATTACGCAGCGTTCGAATTAATAGTGGTCAATTGTTTCTTATCTCTTCAGTTAACCTTTTGAATAAATTACTCATATTTTTGTTCTTGTTTTTCATCGTGAAGAGAAAAAAATGCTCTTTAAGATGAAATGCATTGGTAATTTCAATGGTTATTGCATTGCAAAAAAAAAAAAAATTATTAGTGGTTTGTGGTTGTATATTAGGGTTTCTATTTTTCTGTTTAAGGGAACTAGGCATTTATACAAATAAAAGATTTATCTTAAAACTGAAACATTAACAAATAAAGGATAAATGTGGATCGTATCTTACATTCTTAGTTTCATTGTTTTGTAATACAAAAAATATCTTTATATATATTTACATATAAATGTAAAATTTTATTTCTAGAATGTGCTTGTGTCAATCTCTAAAAAATGTTTTTCACATACAAGAATTTGTGAAGTCAAAAGGAGTTGAAATACGATTTAATGGGCGTGGAAAAAACGAAGCGTCCCACTATTGCGGACAATGTGAAGTAAGTTTTTAATTTTTATTTATCATAAAGCAATACACACTTATATAAGGAAATATATTCATTAATGATTAATGATTTGACTTTGATGGTGTTTAGTTGCGTATTGATCTTTATTCTTCTGAGCCTGGGTTTATATACCCAGACTCATGCATAATTTCAATCTAGTGTGTCTATTGCTGAGTGTGTAAGGCTCAGCACAGGTCTATTAGCTATTCTTATCCTATCGCTGAGTTTGTAAGGCTCAGCGCTCGTCTCTTACATATTCTTGTCGCTAAGGGTCAGAGTCATATTTTATTTCTAGTTTGACAGTTCACACTTTCATATGTGTTATTTATTTTATGTATGCTAGCTGTTGAGTACTTAGAGTGTATGTTCCCATATTTATATTTCTATGTTCATGCATGTGCATGAACATATATATATACACATATATAGTCGGCATAATTATTTTGACGAAAAAATTTTCGCTTACTTTGAGCATAACTATATATATATGTATATACAATGAGTAACATTAATATTCAGATTTTTTATTTGTAAATTTCAACCGCCCATAAAACAAGTAATATTAGTTGAAATTCAAAAATGTTAAATGCTAAATTGTAGATTGAAGCATTACCTTTCCGATTAAGTATATATCAATATAGTATATTTAATATAACTAACAAAAATTGTACATAAACCGACAAAACCCAAAATTTGTCGTTACTTAAATATTCGGTTTTTTCTTTAACAACTGACCAAATTCGAGTTCTATTAAAAATGGTTCACATTTAACGTTTGGTATGATATCCACTATATTTTATACCTCATTGGAAAGGTAATTCTTCAATCTACAATTTAAAATTTTTTAATTTTAACTAAAATTACGTGTTTTATGGGCGGCTGAAGTTGAAAAAAAAACCGAATATTAATGTTACTCACTGTATATATATATATAAAAAAAAAGTGATGCTCAAAGTAAGCGAAAATTTTTTGTTGTCAACTGCTCAAAAGTTAATAAACAATTGAATAAAGCTTTCGTCAAAATACTTATGTCATGCACAAATTCGATGCTTGCATGCATTCTTATCAGCAGAAAGAGCGCATAGAGCTATTAATAGACTCTGGTTTGCTCACAATTTTCGCTCATTTATGTAACAGTACTAGACACAACATGATTTGGTTAAAATACTTATGCCGACTAGTGTATACTGCTTACAGTATACTCTTTGACTTACAAAAGAGGATGATTCAATCGCACGTATGTCCAATCGGTCGCAGTATGTCTTTCGGCAAAATTAAGTCGTGCAACCTTGTCGCGACTTAGCAGTATGGGTTCTTTGGTCAGTTTATACCTCTTTATGATTCCTGAGCTCTTAAGTAAGCGCCAAACAGTCATCACTTACACAGATCCGCCCACATGTGAGGTCAAAGCTGTACAAGCGGGTGAGCTTTTGTTTACTTTGGTAATAATTTTGCGTTTATCGCGCGCACTTAGTAACGGTTTTCGCCTCGAAATAGACTCTCCTGACTCAAAAGGTGATAAAATACCTGAAAACAATTCTCATTATGAAAAATAATTATGAAAAATAATGAGATTGTTTTCCAAGCGGCATCTCTTAAAAACTAAAAAGTCTGCCCCCCATTTTATAAAGTCAAATTTGTTACTGTGGGCTTTAACTACTACTATACGCCAAAATTCTTAGTTTTCTATAAATTGAACACAAACATCGGTAAATTGTAATAAACATGAACTGTCAACAAAATACTGTAAAATTTATTTTTGAAAAATCTTAGAAATGTTAAAATTGGTACTAAGTTTGAGTTGCTGAGTGGGTTATAACTATGATAAGCACTGTATATATTTTAGCATAAATGTAAATATTAATAAAATAAAAATACGTTCCTTCTTTTTAGGTTGAAGTATTCAACGTGTTATTCATAAGAGAGCAAGAGAAAAGACATGTAGTCCACTGTTTACCATGTGTGTTGAAACTATCACCATCATTACAAGGCATTGTTTGCTTGGAAGAGTACCGATTGTCAGAGCTGGAGCATGTGTATGACTCTTTTACATTATATAGAACCCAAGGACTTGGACAAACACATTAACTTAAGTAATATAATATTCTTATATTTTTTCCTTACAATGAACGTTTTGTACACCGAAAAGAAATTATTAAATTTATATATGTAGTTCTGAAACAATTTTACGTTACTTGGCTATTATCTATAGGGCACTTCTGGGTTTCTCTTGCTAACTTAGAGCGTTTTTTAGATTAACTAACCATGGCACACAAATAACTGTTGACCATTTTGCGATGTATGCAAATAAATGTCTGAACCTTGAACCCATGAAAATGGAAAAGTAAAGTTAAAAAGCTTTGTTAAAAGTATGTAACTGGCAGAAGGAGGCGTGGCAGACCCCACAAAGTATATATATTTTTGATCAGGGCGACGAGCTGAGTCGATTTGGCCCTGTCCGTCCGTCCGTATGATCTCAGAAGATATAATAGCTAGAGACTGAAATTTTTTTCCCAGGTCCGTGTATATTACGCGCATATCCAGTTTTTCTCATAAAAACCGATAAATACTCTTGATATTTTATTATCGATTAAACCCTCATCAAAAACTAGTTATTTAATTATATCTCCTATACCTTTAGAACTACAGTCTCCCCCCACCCCTATATCCACCCCCTCACCCACATATTTGAAAAAAGGCGTATTTCAAATACTAGAGACTTGTGCTTTAGCACATGCACTCAATGTTATAATCAAGACTAGGAGACTACAAGACTAGGAGACTAGAAGATATTCTGAACCCTCCAAGCTGATATTTGAGTTATTCTGCACTTTTATACACAGGCAAGTATAAGCACGCGCTATGCTAACAGCGCAATAAGCAGCGATTGTTCTTGGGCTGCGCTGCAGTGTGGGCAATATTATGAGAATTTATTTGTTGAATAATTTCTCTTGTAGGCGGATTATCTTAATGAATCTTCCACAACGTAATCATAATGTTTAAATGTGTGTATATTCCAAAGCACAAGTCTGTTGTACTTGAAATAGGGCTTTATTTTTTATACCCTGAACCCATTGAAAATGGGAAATCAAGGTATAATGGTTTTGTTAAAAGTATGTAACAGGCAGAAGGAGGCGTGGTTTCGATTTTTGTTGCAATATATCCCCAACCCCTATATCCACCCCCTCACCCACATCTTTGTAAAAGACGTATTTCAAATGCTAGAGACTTGTGCACTGGCATATACACGCACTTTATTGTTATATTAACGACTTGAAGTTCCATGAGCCTAGTTCATCAACAAAATAAAAAGTTATTAAACAATTAAATTTCGTAGTCGAGAAGTCTCGACTAGAGCTTTCTTACTTGTTATACCTTAAGAATTTTTATAATTTTTATTATACCAACTATATTTAAGCTATCTTAATATTTATTTTAAGTTTTCATTGTAACACTTTTTTTTTGTCGGCTATTTAATTTTAGTTGACTCTAGTTTTGTCAATATCTTTTAAGTGAAATCAAATTAAAGTAAAATAAAATATGAATCAACAGGTTATGATAGGCCTCACCTCGGCCCAAGCGGGAATTGTGTCCCGACAACACAATTCGAGTTGGTTCTTTTTCTTTAATTTTTACTTTTCTTTTATTTTTACCCGCTGCACTATGTGTCACATATGTGGCACATGCGAGTACCGTAGTAGTAAACCCCCGTTGGGGTACACGTCACGTTAAACAAATCAAGGATTCTTTATGTAGTCGATATGTATAAGTGTATAAGTGTCAGTACCAGGAGAGGCAAGTGACAAGTGGGCGCTATGTTACTAACATAATGCAGTTAATAGCATAATATGGCGATGTGCGGAAGGAGCAATTTCTGTTAATGGAATCTGGCATTAACATACTCCCCTCCTTGAAAGGATTGCAAATTTTGACGTCGTGCTCGAAGCTGGAGACCTCTTGGCGTGGGAGCACGATGTTCACCATAGGAGGGATGCTGACAACCATATTTCGGATCAAGGCCGTCAGCGGAGCTGTGACCGCCTCTTTAGGAGTCGAGGCGGAGTGACGTGCTGATCCCTGGAGATGCAGGAGCGTGTGGCGATCCTGGCCACACATTTCGCAAAGTCCCTTGCTGCGGCAGAATTACCCGGATCGCTCGTGGAGTACTTATGTAAAAGTACCACACGCATCCGTCTCTTCTCTGAAATGCCCAGAATGCGCCGGCAGTTCTGGAGACCGTAGATTCCTCTGCACTGGAAGGCACTGATCCGGGAAGCTTGGTACCTTCTGACAACGGCGTCTTTACCTGGAAGATCGATTGATTAGGAGGAAGAATTGCTTACTCCCCAGAGTATGACATGAAAGGTAGTTGAACAGCCCAAGGAGGACGGTTGGAATGATGGGCGTGAATGAAGAATATTATACAGGGCATTATCATTCAGTGATGGACGCAGAGCATTGCAACCGACCCTCATTTTCGGAGTGGTGCTGTCGGGAACTCAGAATGGAAGAGCAGCGATAGATGACACGGTTATTGGAGACTCATGTTTTGCTTCTTCCGACACAGAAATTTGAGTTCTGAAGGAGGAGACCGTTCCCGGTGTCGTCTGGGAATGTGGGCCTGTCAGTACCCAACCAAAAACAGTCCTTATTCCTATGAGAGGTCCAAAAATATTAGGATGGTAACCTTTCTGAATAATAATAGCTGAATAATAGTCCGAAGGATATTTACGCCTATAAAGACATAAATTGCCGCACTCTTGTAAAACTCGGGGTCAGCAAGCTGAACTTTCGGAAGTTCGTTTAACAAGAGTTGCGGAATTGAAGACGAAGGGGTGTTATCAGCTAGATTTGGAACGACGAGAGCAGAAGCTTCGACGTTGTCCCTGTGGAGGAGTGTGTTATGACGACCATAGCACTGAAAACAGTTGTGCGTACTGCTGGTACACTCTATTTTATGTAACTCTCTCGTTCATGAATTGATAGTTGGAGAAACCGAGGGCCGATTCGGATTGGATGTTGTGTCCGCTTGCGTTGTGAACGAGTTCATTCGATTGGGAAGGGCAGGGTTCGCAGATCTCGGAACTGAGTTAGGAACTTTTGGAACCAAACGATCACCTTCCATAGCCTCAAGAGCACAAGCGCGCTCGCTAAGGAAGTGACTAAAGTCCTGCCATGCTGGGATTTCTGTTTTTCGTGTTAATGAATGCTCCCAGAGAGATAAAAATATTTCCGGCAAATTGGAAGAACCTGAATCCTTAGTGACTTTGGAAAGGTTGAGAAGAACTTAAGCTGGCTGTGGACTAATAACCGCTTACTCTAGAACCGACCACACAAGGAGACCCAAGCCGATGCAAAACCGTCGCTTGTGAGAGGATACTGTGCGATAAGTGCGTTTGCATCGCCTGCGGTTTTTTAATTATGGTGGAATAGCTTTTCCACCGGAGACAACGGGTACTATTTATGTAAATGGCCGTAAAGGTATTATGGCCAGCGCAAGTAATCGCCTTGAAATACCTCCGTGTGAACGAGTGGAAGGCGACAGCCTGCAGACGAAGCGAGAGGAGCGGAAACGGAGGCGGACGGTGCACTGGATGCTGAAATGGCGTCGATCTGCCTGCTTAGTTGAGCTATACACCGCTCATAGACAGTATAGTTGTTGGATTAAAAAAAAATGTACCTGATTAAGCCCAGTATCCAAATTGGAATGTGATTTTCGATCGCTTACACCTGCGGATATACAGGTGAAATGTACCTTTTTTAAAAGAAGCATATGTATATACATACATATACAGGCCAAATGGACTCATTTAAAAGGGTGCATCTGTTAGATGTCATAAAAGTCATGCAATTAAAAAATTCCCAAAGAAGTAATGGGAAGTGCACTTGTTACTTTAGCTAGTCGGATACTAAAATGTAAACGCGATTCTACATTTCGAAGCCAAAATTGTTCTCACAATTCTAAGTTGTGGTAGGCTCACGCCGATGTAAAAGTCCCAAGCATACACACATGCACATATTAAGAGTTCGAGCTGCATTTTCGTGGAGTGCGGTCATCGTGATCCATCGTGGACTCTAGCTTGTTCTGTGTTTTTCCCTGGAAAATGGAAAGAACTGAAATCCACGTGTATTCTGTAGGGGCAACGTACCCAGCGACGCACAGTTGGACTTCTGCCGGAAGAGCGTGGCAAAAGTAAGTGAAGTCATAATTACCGCTTTTGGATTTTGATTTTTTTTATTTCATTGGAAATTGATTGGAAATTGACCATAGGGACAGATTCCAAAAGATTTTTGAAAATAGGTGAATTTTAAGGGTAGTTATGACCCATCAAAGTTGGGTAAATTTGCAAACTGAACCAAAACATGAAATCTTGTAAAAAACAAGTAAGATAGCTGTAGTCGAGACTGCTCGACTACCCTGAACTCCTGAACACAAGACACACGCACACACACACGCATACACACACACACACACACACGCACACATAAACACGCAACTTTTTTTGGACATACGATCTTCATGAAACTTGTAGATTATGATTATAACATGAATATGCATGTATTTGCTAAAGCACAAGTCTCTAGTATTTGAAATACGCCTTTTACCAAAGTGAGGGTGAGGGGGTGGATATAGAGGTGGGGGGTAAATTTTAACAAAAACCGAAATTGCATAAATTTCATATAAGCATACATTGAAAATTTGGAGACTCTAGCAATAAAGGTGTAGAAGATATAATTTTATAACTGGTTTTCGATAAGGTTATTTATCGATAAAAAAAGATCGGGATGAGTTATCGATTTTTAATAATAAACTCGATATCCGCGCTGTAAATACGGACATTTAAAAAAAACGTTGAAGTCTCTAGCTCTTATATCTTCTGAAATCGACGCGTTCATACATACGGACAGACGGACGGACAGACGGACAGACGGACGGACAGGGCCAAATCGACTCAGCTCGTCGCCCTGATCAAGAATATATATACTTTGTGGGGTCTGCCACGCCTCCTTCTGCCTGTTACATACATTTCAACAAAATCATTATACCCTGATTTCCCATTGAAAATGGGTAATAATCATAATCTGAAAGTTTCATGAAGATCGTATGTCCACAAAAAAAGTTATTAAACAATTAAGTTCTCATAGTAAGCCAACACTGCAGCCCATGCGTGTTTATGCGTGGGTGCTT